TATTCCTGTTAAAAGGACGTTTTTCCTTTCCACTATCGCTGTATGTCTATTTTTGCCACCTGCTCATCCAGGAAGAGGGTGTCCTGCAAAGTCAATACATCAATGCAATCAGCTGGTTATCCTTAGAAAGAAAACTTTGAACCAGTCACATAAATAAAAATAAACTGAACTGAATTTAATTGAATAAAATCCTTACACTGATGCTTAAAAAAAGTCTTTGACAAGTTTGCATATCCAAGTCATTAACATGTAGGTTAGTGCAATATAAGGGTTTTAGTGATGCACTCAAATCCCTTTTTTTAGGTCTGAATAATATGATAAATTAAATTCTGTTTATTTATGTAGCGCCAATTCACAACACATGTCATCTCAAGGCATTTTACAAATTCAACCAGATCATACAGCCAATTTGATTGAAAAACCTTCTATTTAAGAAAAACCACCTGATTGCATCGACTCATCAACTCGAAGATAATCCCTCACACTAAGCATGCTTGTAGCGACAGTGGAGAGGAAAAACTCCCTTTTAACAGGAACCCTAACCTCCAGCAGAACCAGGCTCAATGTGAGCACCCCTCTACTGAGGCAAACTGGGGTTCAAGAAGACGGAAGCAGACAAACAAAAAGAAGAGATTATTAAATCTTTAGTGAATTTGAAAAAATAATCTTTCAAAGTGTTCTTAACCATAACTGAGGTTAAAATGCTATGTTTTTTTTTTTTTACCATAAAAACTGCACAAATAAAATAAGCTCTACCATTTTCAAAAAGACAATTTAGCAAAATTTAGCATCAAGCTTGCAAAAAAGTTTCATTTGTGTTTTCATTTTCAACTAAATAGAAAAAATAATACAAATTTAATTCCACAGACTCAAAGTCCAAAATTAATGGTATTCATTATGACATCAATGCTATGTTGACTTTTTTTTAATCATCCCTACAGGTATGTTAGAGAAATAAAAAGTGTTTTATTTTCTGTATTCCTCTTATTGTAATTTCAAGACATTATACTACATTTTTTTCATATGCATTACAGTATCTTGAAATAAAGTTCTGTAATGTAACCCTTCCTTCTAATAGGAGCTCATGCTGAGGCTTATTTAGCACCAACATGCCAGCAATCTCTAAACAAAGCAGGAGGTAAAAGGTCTGGCTTATTTAAACTGTAAGACAAGCAAAGTGATTCAAATAATAGATTAAGTTCCCCTTCGTCAGTCTCCACAAACCCTAAACAACCTAACCGCTGCATAGAGAATGAGAGGTTAACACATGTTGATGCCAAAAAATCAGTCTGTTATCTTTAATCACGCTACAAAGCTGGACCTCAGCTGTCAGTCATTTGTCAACCCTGACAGGAAATCAAAGCCCACACGAAGTCGTCAGAAACATACCATGTGTTTGATCGGTCAGAGCAAACTCTGTATTTGTGCTGAGCTGGCTGACACATTGAAAGTTCTGACGCTCTTTGAAACTTTGCCAAATCTTTATGCCCCAACATTAAAGCTATTTTTTCCCACATATTCCTTTGGACAGGACACTAATGAGGATGCTTCTTTTCTGAGAGAGAATTAATATCCGTGTTTGTTTGATGATTATTACCCAGCAGGCATGGCCACATCTGATAAACCTTTCCACACTGGCATTGGCAGAGCTTTTATTAAAAAAAGGTCTAAAACTTACCTGTCAAAGTTTGCTTTTTTAATTTAATCCATAGATTATAGTAGTGGAAAATGGAAAACTTTTTTGATTATGGATATTATATTGATCAATAGAATCTTTTCATTTTCATGAAACTTACAGTCAGAGTTGCTCTGGTTATCCTGAGCTATATCTGCATTAATGCTGCTATAGGCTTAGACTGCTGGAGGACATAGAGGCCAATTTTCCTCATTCTGCCTCGTTGTACCTCTATTCTCATATTCTGCAGTATTTGCTAGCCCAACTTTATGTTCTCTCTTTCTTTTTGCATCTTTGTAGCTTCATCTGGTCTGTTCCTGTTTGGCTTTGACTCCATCCGGGAGAGAAATATCAGCTGCGCTGCTGCCATTATGATTGTAGATGATAGAGTTTGGCCTATTTCTCAGTGTTTATTCTTGTTTATCTCCTAGATATAAAATTAGACTCAGATTCTATTCTGACTAATTCTATGTTCCCATCGTTTTGACAAAACAAACTGGCTCAGGGATCATCTGCTTAACTTTTTGTTTCCCAGACAGATACACCTATGGAGCTACTTTATTGTTACAATTTCTAACATAAAAAGTATCAGTGCTTCTATGTTCCTCTTGTATGTCTGTTTTTATCTCCTTGAACCCTAAGTCAGCCTCGGCAGAAGGCTGCTCACACTAAAGTGTGGTTTTTCCTTTTAAAAGGCAGTTTTTCCTAGCCGCTGTCACTACATGCTTCTCCGGGAGAAGCGCGTCCTGCGAAGTCAAAAACTCAATATACAGTATTTAGCTGTTGTTCCTTAGAAATAAAACATTCTTACTAATCTATAATAATCATAATTAACCTTTATGTATCTCACATTGGAGAAATTTACCTCTGCATTTAACCCATCCCCTTTGGGAGCAGTGGGCTGCCATTGTGCGGCGCTCAGGGAGTAATCAGGGGTTAAGCGTCTTGCTCAGGAACCCAGAGTGCAGGCAGTGGGATTCGAATCAGGTACCTGCAACCTTCTCAGAGCACAAGCACACTGCTCTAACCCACCAGGCCAACACTCCCCCATAAGCTGACTGCATGATCGGATTTAATTGTCCCTGTAAAGTTCCTTTAGATAACATATGTTGTGAATCGGCGCCTTATGAATAAACTGAATGAAACAACAAGTACCCTAAACATACAGCTAGAGCTACACCTGAACAAACTGGATCACACCAGACTCAGGTATCAAAATGGCCCAGGCATAAATAAGGATCTGTGGCAATACCTCAAATGTGATGTTCTCCATCAGAGTTGACTCTCTTCGGCCAAAAAACAGACACACGATAAACGATTTTCAGGAGAGTTGTTTTACAAAGTATAGATTCAGAATGGGGAAATACCTTTGCAGGCCACACTTTTCAGATTTTTCTTTGAATTATTTAAAACAACATATGTATATATTATATACACATCACATTGATGACCTTATATTGGTCTGACATAAACAATTACAAAGAAAGTTTCAGGTTTTTTTAATTGGAAAAAAGAGTAAAAGCAATAAAACATATTTTGGAAGAAAGTTTGATAATCATTTATCGCAATAGTTCCTGTTTTGTGCCCATATTCTTCAGACTGCTATATTTTATTTAACCTGTGTTTTTTTTTTATTAATTTTTTTTAAGTTATTATGTAGACGTGTTTTCTGGATCTTAATACAATGCAAAAAGCGCAGTGTGGAGGTTTGGCCGCAGCTCTATTGGAAAGGCGGTGTGGTGGATGTAGGGGGAGCCAGGCTCCTGCAACTTCTATGAGACTTGCGTCAAGCTGGAAAGTTTTAGTCGGAAACGCAGTTCTTTCACACTACTGCCGCACATTTGGTAGCAGAAAAAAAAAATCTAAGAAGTAAAAGAAAAATCTGAAATTCTTTCACGAATTTCCAGCTCAATTAGTGATTTTTTTTTTTTTAAATCGATTGCCAAAGTGCCATCACTAGATAAATAACTATTTCTGTGTGTACTTTTTGAGTTAAAAAATATATATTTTATTAAAAATTTAGTTTTTAATAATATATATTTTTAAACAAAATAGAATATGCCATCTGGAACTCATAATTAAAAACTCAAAATTCATTACGATCCATGACTAACTACAATTATTTTGGTATTTATTTAGTTCAACGTTTAGAACGTTTGATTCCTGAATGCACAGATAAATACAGGGACAGCCTAAAAGATTGTATAAATTATACAGAGATTATATAAATTAGTACGGAAGAGGATTAGGGCCACTGGGAAAAAAAAAAAGTTAACTGATTTTTTTATTTTATTTCAATATAATATGACAAAAAAGTCAGAATTCTGACTTTAATCTCAAAATTCTCACTTTTTCCTCAGAATTCTGACTTTAATCTCAGAATTCTGACTTTTTCCTTCCAATTTTGACGTTAACCTCAGAATTCTGAATGCATTCCGACTGCTAAAAAACATGTTAGCATCAAGGTGTAGCCATGTCTGTTTTACAGACTACTAGCTCTCTTGTTTTAATCACCTTCTGCTTTTATTAATGAAATAGCATGACTTTTTACGTGCCCGCGGGCATCTAATTCATAAGCCACACTGATTCAAACTCACATCTTTGTCAGTGAAGCTGAGTGCTCCCACATCTCTTCATGGTCCCCATCTACATTAAGATCTAAAATTCTGAGATTAAAGTCAGAATTCTGACTTT